TAATTTATTTTATTAAGATTATAATGTAGCCTAATCAATTTAATGTAGATTTGTGATTTTTATATTTTCAATTAAAGTTATTCGTATAATAAGTTTATATTATTGAATTTAATGCATTAAAAATCTGATTAACTTTTGATTGATTTAGTGATTTATGCTTGAACTTAAGAAAGAATTGTATAAATTAGACCAATAATAATATAAATCTTGTGTTAGACTATAAGACCTTACCTCATATCTGGTAGTGCAATAAGAAAAAATAGTTAGGAGCTCCCCCTTCAAGTTTCCATAGAATTCAATTCTCATTAGTTTATTTAAAATTATATAGAGATATAACTAAATTAACTTGATTTGAGAAAGCTAATTAGTTAATTTAGGGAAATCCACCATCACTTGCAATAACACTCAACAAATTGATTTTGAGAGTATATTAATCAAGAATTTATATTGATTGATTATAGTGAAGTCAATATCTTAGTACCTTATATTTTGATTAACTTTATTTTAATTATTATTTTCTTTTTATTATTTTTAATTAAAGTTTCATCATTTTCAATTGTTTGAATAAATTTAGATTAATTATTTTGGTATTTAGTGAATCACACTCTATATAAATATACTAAAATGGAAATCAAGGGCTCAAAGGTAATTATGTTCACATGCAAATTCCAATTACTGGTCTTCCAAGTTGGAGAGACATTTATTGCCATATCCATAGAGATGAATGCAAGAAAAGTAAATAAATTAGCACAGGTATGACATTTAGTTTAAATTGAAAAGATGCAAAGATTGAGCAGATATAGCAGAACATATAAAGAAATCTCACCATACGACTCCCACTTATTGAAATTCACCTGCCATGTGCTTGAACCATTCTGTGTAGATAAGACACGATCCACCCAAACCCAAAACATTTTTCCCTGCTTGTCTCCATACCACCCTTTCAATTCATGTATGCGTTCATGTCACCAGATGGATCGACGTTACAGCAGATGGACCCTGAAGAAAGAAGAATTAAAATGGTGGTTCTTTCTAAACATAGATCATAAAGTACTCCAACAAAAAATGAAAAGTGCAAACAACATTTCTTAGTAGATTCATTAGATAAAGAAAATCAACAAAAGTTGATGCAAAATGTCAATAGGTTCCAGTCAAAGTAGACCTAAAATGTAACTTAGTCCTAGTACTGGTTCTAGGTACAGCTACATAAAGTACATTTTTGGTCAAGCATTTAAGCTAAAAGTTTTCTTCACTTATCAGTTTATTATTTTAGAATAAATTTGCTTTCCTAATTTTCACACAATAAAAGCTATATACTTCTATCTATACCTATACTCAAGTTAATCCATCAGCCAACACTCCAAACTTACCAGGGACTTTTATTTTCCACCTGGGCATGATATATGGAGCAGCAGAGTAGGGATACATTCTCAACATCATCATGATCAACCTGCAGAAAGAGCACCATGTCCAATTAAAGTAACTAATAGCAATACAAGCACGACATCATTCTGGAGTGCAGCAAGAATTTGTTAAACCTAACATTGTATGATCAAGATCAGAAACTATCATAGAACGTGCAGAAGCACTGCGCCGATCCATGACTACTCTACTGCAACCTTTAACCCTAGAACCAAATTAATAACTACCACAATTAGACGCTTCTATGTGAATTTAAGTTATGGATTCTACAAAATGGGACAAGTAAGTTTGAAATCA